CGAGCAGACCCTGGGCCCCTGGAGCCCGCACACCCCCCCGCTGCCCGCAGCCAGGGGCGTCTCCAGAGCCATCGAGAGCAGCCGCGATCTGCTGCATCGGATCAAGGTGCGGGCCCAGCGGACGCCAGGGCGGCGGCTTCCGAGAAAGACTTCCCGTTTCCCGACCGCCAGGCCGCGGGTTGACGCTCTCGGGGTTGCTCAAGTCGCAGCTGAGGTCACCGGCTACGGAGGGGACCGCCCCTTCCCCTTTAGCTAGCGAGCCCTGAGTACCCCTCGCGGATCACGGCTGGGTAAGCAGAACCCTTGCTCCAGTGGGCGGGGCCGGGAGTGGGCGGGGTCTGAGAGGGCGGGGTCAGGAGGCCAAGCCTGAGAGCGCCTCTCTGTGTCCTGACACATTGTACTTCTGAAACACCTGGATCTTCTTTTCTCTTAGGATGAGGTTGGCGCCCCCGGCATAGTGATCGGAGTTTCTGTAGATGGAAAAGAAGTCTGGTCAGAAGGTGGGTTGAGCAAGTATTGTTTAGTGGCTCATTTTGTAATTTGGTGAAATAAAATACTGATATTTTATTGGTTGGGGTTGCAAAAAGTGGCACATATTGTAGAGACAATGTATCTATAGAATAATCAGGCCGTTTTATCCTTCACTGCAAAGTTTAAAATGTAACTAATCGGGCTAGGAGTGTAGCTCACTGGAAATCACTTGGGTAACCTTAAGGTGTAAAGCCTGGCTTCAACTCCAAAAGTAAGTAAATAATTAAAATGTGACTCAAGTAATTGGAAGTGTTCAAAATGGCTTGTTTCTTCTTCCAGGTTACTCTTAAGAGTGGATTTATTGGCCTGAAAATGTAATGCATCCATTAAATATCCACCATCACATTTAGCCCTTGTAGATAGACCGGGTTAGTAAATAAAAACCTCAGCTTCTATATAATTTTATTCTTTTGTTCAGTAGGTTTCTTATTCCCTATTTCTGTAAAAGGCATTACTAAATACGAGGGACACACAATATCACTTGTCCTTAATGAGTTATAGTCTATTATTATTTTATTAGACAAAAGTACTAACTGTTGTTTTGTTTTTATCAACAAAAAGCTTGAAGTGGCTTGGAATGTAGCACAGTTGGTAGAGACCTCCCAGTATGATTCCTTGTACCATATAAATTAAAGTGGTATATGGACCTGTGGTCCCATTGCTCAGGAGGTGGAAGTGAAGGATCAGAAGTTCAAGGTCACATAGTGTGTTCAGGCCAGCCTGAGTTATATGAGACCCTGATCCCTTCTCCTCCCTCCAAAGTTAGAAGCTTTGAGAGAGGCATTTATATTTGTTTTATGATAAGTTTATCAAAGCACTGTTTGTAATATAACTTCACTGTTGCAGACAAATTGCTCCAGTTCATCACCTCAGTTTTTAGTAAATGATATTTCAGGCATTATTTAAGGAAAGTAATAGTTTTAGACGACATTGCTGGCAGCAGTGGGGTTTTGAAAAATTATACTTCTCCTGAGTATATGTGTATTCTAATCAATACAACTAATAGGTGAAAATCGTGTAGTAAAAAATTTAATAAGCCAGGCATGGTAACAGTGTCTATAACCCTAGCACTGAAGAGCTGAGGCAGGAAGATTACTTTGAGTTTGAGGCCAACCTGGGGTATATACAGCAAGATCTTGACTCAGAAAGCATAATAGGGGTAGGGCTAGAGAGATGACTTGGTGGCTTAAAAACACTTGCTATTCCTGCAGAGCTCCCAGATTAGGTTCCCACATGGTGGCTCATAACTGTCTGTAATTATAGTTCCAGAGGATCTGACACTCATTTTTCCCTCTATAAGATGTATGGGCATACATCTTACATATATGAGTGTTTTGCCTGCATGTATGTCTGTGCACCATGTGCATGTTTGGTGCCCAAAGAGTCCAAACTTGACAATCCAAGTTCAATCCTAGGGACTCATATGGTGGAAGGAGAGAATCAACTTTTGCAAGTTGTCCTCTGGCTTTTATATGTACACACATGCACGCACGCACACCAGGGAGGAAGAGAGAGAGAGAGAGAGAGAGAGAGAGAGAGAGAGAGAGAGAACAAAAGTAATAAAAAGAATCTAATAAAGCCAGCTTTATAAGTGGGAGCTTTATAGAAATATTTTCACTTACCACTTTTTTTTCAGACTTCAGTTCTTTATATTTCTTACATCTAATTGCACACTTTCACCCTGTACATGAGATAAAATCAAATTTGGTAGGTGGCTAGGGAGTTTGACATGTTTTTACATTCATTTTGTGGCTGTCTATTTTAAAGAATTCAGTGAAGATACTCAAAAATGGAGAAGATTGCAATATGAGGAATTATAAGGAATGATGATGTTTACTTTTTAAAATGTAAATTATTTAAAATGTAGAGTAGCAAGCATGATAATATAGATCTGGCTGCAACATCTGTCACCTCTTCTTGTACCAAAATCTATATTAGTCAGGGTTCTCTAGAGTAATATAACCTATAGAATAAATCCATATATATATATATATGCACATATATATATAGAGAGAGAGTTTTCCCACTAGTAGGAATTATATTTTTAATATTTAATAGAATTCTTTGGTTTCTTCTGTTTCATAGATATCTTTTTCAATCTAGATGATATATATACATATATACACAGAAAGAGAGGGAGAGAGAAAGGAATATATATATATATATATATATATATATATATATATATATAAAATTTATTAGAATGACTTACAGATTATGGTCCAACTACTCCAATAATGGCTGAGTATGAATGGAAAGTCTGAGAATCCAGTAGTTGTTCAGTCCATTAGGCTATATGTCTCAGCTGATTTTCAGTATATGCTGTGGAACCCCAAAGAAGCAGGCTCCAATGCTAGTGAAGGAATGGGCCTGCTAACAAGGTAAGGGCAAGCAGGCAGAGAGAGAAAGTGTCCTTCTTCCATGTCCTTATATAGGTTCCCAGCAGCAGGCTTGGCCCAGATTAGATCTGTATTAAAAGTGTGTCTTCCTGCCTCAAATACCTGGATTAGAAAGTAGATCTTTCCATTTCCAATTAAGCAGAAACCCCTAACAAGTGTGCCCTCTATTTGGGGGGTTTAGTTAATTCCAGATATAGTCAAGTTGACAACCAAGAATAGTCATCACAATACCTGTAATCCCAGATGGTGACAGGTATATCTTGAGATCAATGCTAACCTGGGCTATATAGCAAGGCCCTGTCTGAAAAATACAAAAAGAAGTGTAATCATCATATTGTTAAGATAAGAACAATTAATAATATATGAGCATATCAGATAGGAAAGTGTTGGGTACCAGGTAAAATTCCAGTTCATCTATAAACTTAAATCATTAGGCTTTCTATTGTCAGTATCAGCAAGACTCTCATTCCTCCAAGTCCAGTTTAAATATCTCATAAAAGAGATACATAGCATATTTTAATTGATGCAATTTCAATGTCAGACGTATCATTTATTTCCTTTGAAGGTCTAGGCTATGCAGATGTGGAGAACCGGGTACCCTGCAAACCAGAAACAGTCATGAGAATCGCAAGCATCAGCAAAAGCCTTACCATGGTGGCTCTGGCCAAACTGTGGGAAGCAGGGAAACTGGATCTGGATCTCCCAGTGCAGCACTATGTTCCCGAGTTCCCAGAAAAAGAATACGAGGGTGAAAAGGTAGTGACACCCCCAGTTCGTTCTCCCACTGGTATGTCACATGGTTTACACTGGAATTATAGTTTAAACATCTAATGGAATTCTTTGGTTTCTTCTTTTGTTTCATAGATTTCATTTTCAATGTAGATGATACTTTGTTGACTACATTTCTGTAACTTGGAGCAAAGGTCTGTGCATGGCATTTTCCCAGCAGCAGCTCTGTGTGGAGACTATTAGTCTTCCATTTCAAGGCTGTAGGCTTGTTATTTGCAGGTTAATACTGTAATTGAATTTTTTTTTTTAATTTTGATTTTTCGAGTCAGGGTTTCTCTATGTAACAGCCCTGGCTGTCCTGGAACTCACTTTGTAAAACAAGTTGGCCTCAGACTCACAGAGATTCACCAGCCTGTGCTTACTGAGTGCTAGGATTAAAGGTGTGTGCCACCATGCCCAGCTGTAAATGAATTTTTGTGGGTTTTTTTTTTTTTTTTAGGTTTCTGTCACAACAAGATTATTGATTTCCCATTTAAGTGGAATTCGTCATTATGAAAAGGACATGAAAAAAGTGAAAGAAGAGAAAGCTTATAAAACCATGAAGATGATGAAAGGGGTAATGCCATCTGACCAAGAGAAAGAACTGAAAGAAAAGGGAGGCAAAAATCATGAGAAGAGTGACTCCCCTAAAGCAAAAGCCGAGCAGGAGAATGAAGTCAGGTGTCGGCACTCAAAGCCAGGCAAGAAAAAGAATGATTTTGACCAAGGCGAATTATATTTGAAAGAAAAATTTGAAAATTCAATTGAATCCCTAAGATTATTTAAAAATGATCCTTTATTCTTTAAACCTGGTGAGTGCTAACTCCCTCTCCTAACAAAGTTGTTGGAGTGTTCTTTCTTCAGAAAACCCAAGGTGGCACTGTCTTAACTGCTGTCAGTAAGGTTAATAATTGTAATGGGCCAGTACAGTGCCTGTGGGGTGTGTGTGTGTGTGTGTGGTACATAACACATGCTTGTGGAGGCCAGAGGACAACCTTGGATTTCATTCCTCAGGAAGTGTTCACTTTGGTTATTTATTTATTTATTTATTTATTTATTTATTTATTTATTTATTTATTTATTTATTTATTTATTTATTTATTTATTTATTTATTTATTTATTTATTTATTTATTTATTTATTTATTTATTTATTTATTTATTTATTTATTTATTTATTTATTTATTGCTATGTGTGGAGGTTGGAGGACAACTTCCAGGAACAGTTCTTCTTCTGCCATGTGGATCTCAGGGATTGAACTCAGGGCATCCATCTTGGCAGCAGATACTTTTACCTGTGCAGCCATCTTGCCAGCCCCACCTTATTTTTGAGGCCGAGTCTCATTGGCTGGAGCACACCAATCAGTCTAGGCTGCCTGGCCAACCCTAGCCTTCCTAGAGCTAGGATTGCAAGTGCATCATGACTTTTTTTTTTTTTAATGTGGGTTCTGGGGATTGAACTGAGGTCCTCCTACTTGCTTTACAAGCTCTTTCCCAACTGAGCTATCTCCCCTAACAGCCAGGCAGGTAGCTATTCAGCTTTAGTGTCATGGAAGGCTGCCTGCCCAGTCATAGAAGATGCTCAGTACCAAGTTCATGGGAACTGGTGACTATTGGAACAAAACCTGGCCGCAGGTGCAGAGGCAAAGGTGTTGCTGCTGCACTTGTATGTGAAGGGCTCAGCATGTAAAGGGCTCAGCAGCCTGTTTGATACCTTTGTTCCTTCAGAAGCTAGTGTCCATCAACTCACCTGTACTTCCCCTAAAAACTAAACTATTAAAATAATTGTTTTTTTTCTATGGGACAGTGGCTCACTGTGAAGCTCAGGCTGGTCTCAAATGTGTTCCACCTGCTTGAGTATCACAAGTGCTGAGATTACAGGTGTATTAGATAGCATCATGCTTGGCTTTATCTTTATTTTTTTATATCATTTTTTCTTAAATTTACCATAGATTGATGTACTGTTTTCAGCTTGAAAGTCATTTTATAGGACTGGAGAGATGGCTCAGTGGTAAAGTGCAAGCATATATTGCTTTCACAGAGAACCTGAGCTTGGTTCCCAGCACCCACACAGCCACTCCTAACTCCAGCTCCTAACTCCAGTGTCCTGAGACACTCATGCCCTCTTCAGGCCTAGGAGGTCAACTACCCTCAATAGGCACTCAATTCCCCCATGCACATAATTTTTTAAAATACATAAATAAAAGAATTTACTATGAATCAACATTTTTATATAAATATAACTAAGAAGGCCAATGAAAATATAGTTATGAATTTTGTATTTAAAAATAAAGTTTTTAATATGGATCATTAAAATCTTAAGAAATTAAAACCCAGCCGGGCATTGGTGGCGCACGCCTTTAATCCCAGCACTCGGGAGGCAGAGGCAGGCAGATCTCTGTGAGTTCAAGGCCAGCCTGGTCTCCAGAGCGAGTGCCAGGATAGGATCCAAAGCTACACACAGAGAAACCCTGTCTTGAAAAACCAAAAAAAAAAAAAAAAATCAAAACCCAAAGTGAACCATATGTGTATATATATTTATATTTAAACATATATATATATATAATAAATAATATATAAAAATATATAAAATTTATATATATATATATAAATATATATAAAAAATAAATATATATTTATATTTGAAACAAAGTTTTTATGTTTACATATATTTTATTAAAATAAGTCATAACTGGGCAGTGATGGTGCATACCTTTAATCCCAACACTCAAGAGGCAGGCAGATATAAATAAATAAATAAATGAATTCACATGCCTAGTTATACCTTAAACAGTGGGATGTGTTGAGGAGAACACGGCATTTATTTGATTAAGGGCTAGCTAATCGTATGGTCCAATGGTTGAGCACTGGCCTACTATGTACAATGAGGTTTGTGTTGCTATGCAGATGGCTTGTAAAGCTTTTTCAAGGGCAAACCTAAATTCAAGGGCAATCTGTGACTCAGTTCATCCTCCCTTTGGCATTCAGAACTTACGGGCAATCAGATAGCCAGAAGGAAAATGCTTTCAGGTGCACTTTTTTAGAGAAGTAGCTCTGAGCCCTAATGACCTCTAAAGCTCTAGTTAAGGGCTGACATCCCCAGAGACCCAGCAACTGCACTCTGCCTTTTAAATATACCAAACTGTAAAATAAAGTTGTTCTGCCTTTTATCTGTAAAAAGAAAGCTGAGAATCTTCACATCTCTCTGCATATACCATTCCTTTTCTCTCTAGGAACTCCAGGTTTTAGCTTGTGCTATGCTGGTCACTTGTCTGGGGTTCAATCTTAGCACTTTCCATTTGCCCCCAAAAAGACAATGGGGAAATCAAATTTGCTTTTCTTCCACCTTTCTATTTGATTGCCAGTGTGAAGGATTTTGTTTTGTTTTGAGGTGAGATATATTTGCTTATTTCATTTTCAGATAAAAGAGCAGACTCATATAACTTTAAAGCCGCTGTATTGATCATTATGCTACTCTTGTGTCCTGGAGCAGGCTCAATTAAGCATGGACATTACAAAGCTAACTCAGTGTGTTGGCACATCATCTGTAACCTATTTTTAGGTGTTGAACTAAAATATTACAACTTTAAAAGTATGACTTTTTAGTGGGAATATATTTTTGCATATGTTTAAATAATAATAAGCATTTTCTTCCCTTCTCCCCATGCAATGATGTCTCAAGGTAGTCAGTTTTTGTATTCAACATTTGGCTATACCCTGCTGGCAGCCATAGTAGAAAGAGCTTCAGGATATAAATATTTGGACTATATGCAGAAGATTTTCCATGACTTGGACATGCTGACAACTGTACAGGAAGAAAACGAGCCAGTGATTTACAACAGAGCAAGGTAAAGTGACATCTGTTGTGTCCAGCTATGTCACATCTTAACATTGTGCTGTCAATTTAAAACACAGACCACCCTTGTTTCCATTCCAACATCAGCTTGCCACAGGCTTGGAGCTTTTCTACATGCTTGTTTTTCATGAGTAAAGTGAAAGAAATAAATATGTTTGTGGTACCCCAAAATGCTTAGTAAGTCAAGCATGGTGTTTCACACCTGTAATCCCAGCACCAAGAGGATGAGGCACAGGGATTACTGTGAGTTCAAGACCAATATAGACTTCATAGTGAGTGCCAAGCTAGAATGAGGCTATCACAAAGGAGAAGGGGGGGGGGGCATGAGAACAATAAAGAAAGTAGCAGTCAAGATTTAAGCATCTGAGTAATTAAGCCAAAATTCTACCTATTATGTACTTAGACAATTTGGTCTTTAAACATCTTTTCTTATTTTTAATGTTGTGCTTACCTGTTATTTTTCATTACTTAAAGTTTATTTTGAAGTAATTCATACTTAGAAAAAGTTGCAATAGTATAAGAAATTCACATAGACCTGTCTGTCACCCAGAGTCCCCAGATGTTACCGTTATGCCATATTTATATTATCTGATTGTTGGTGGTGTTTCCTGAACTCTTTGGAAATAAGATGCAGACATGGTATTCGTTACTCATAAATGCTTAAATGTGCATCTTCTAAAAATGAGAACATTTGTGCAGTGGTTTAATGAAATCTGTAGACTTGGTTTCCATTTTGCCAGTTGTTCCAGTGATGTCCTTTGTAACATACACTCACACATGCACATATGCACATGCACATAGCTTCCGGTCCAAGGACTGATCTGGCATCCCACATCTCATTTACTTGTCCTGTGTCCCCAAAGTAATGGTGTTTTAGTGGCTTTGTTAAAGTGGTACCAGATTTCTCTTCTATTTTTTAAAGATTCATTTTTATTTGTGTGTGTGTGTGTGTGTGTGTGTGTGTGTGTGTGTGTGTGCAGTTGACCTAAGATTCCAGATGAGGGCATTGGATCCCTGGAATTGGAGTTGTGAGCTGTAAATGGTTGCTGGGAACCAAACCTAAGTCTTCTGGAAGAGCAACCAGTGCTCTTAACCACTGAGCCATTTCTCCAGCCCCTCTCTGCTTTCTACATTTGTTGGCTGGAATTCTATTAGAAGAAAACTATTTTCCTCCCTTGCTATCTATGTATTTATTCATACTACTATGCATTCATGGGTTACTTTGATCAATGAGTCATAATCTGTCATTGCCATTACATGAGCAAATGGTTATTAGGTTGCATATATTTTGTTTGTTTTTTGAGACAGTTTCTGTGTGTAGCCTTGGCTGTCTTGGAATTTGCTTTGTACACCAGGCTGGCCTCAAAACTCATAGAAACTCTCCTGCCTCTGCCTCTGCCTCCTAAGTATTCACCACTCACACCACTGCTCAACATATATCTGTGTGTGTATGTATATATCTCTATATCTACATATCTAGATATCTAGATATATTAGTTATGTGTATGTGTTTGCATGAATTTATGTGACATGTATTGCAGGTGCTCATGGAGGCTTGAAAAGGGTGTCAGATCCCCTGAAACTGGAGTTTCAAGCAGCTGTGAGTCTCTTAGTTTGGGTGCTGGGAACTGAACTCATGTGTTCTTCAAAAGCAGCAAGTGCTTAACTGCTAAGCTATCTCTCCAGCCTCCTATATGTGTATATTTTTATTTTTCGAGTTTTGAGACAACTTTCATTATGTAGCCCAGACTGGCCATGAACTCAAAATCCCCCTAACTCAACCTTCTGAGAGTTGGGATCAGAAGCATGTAATAATGTGTCCAGTGCATATTTTTTAATTACTGTTTTATAGCTGGTATTCTGTATGTTAATAGTGAACATTAAGATGTTCATTTTTGTGTGTTCATTTGGGTTGGAATAAGGAATGTTGTAACGCGAATTAATAACCCCAGAGACTGATACTGGGGTTCAAAATTCAAGCTGAATATCAGAAAAGCAAAGCAGCTGGCCACTAACTTCTTAACCTCTAGCTCAGGCTGAATGGGCTGATCCTGTCTCCACTAGCTCTCACCAAGCCTCAGACTGTAACCTCTCCTTAGCATGGCTGGAGAATGTATGCCTCATACTGAATCCTTGCTCCTGTCTTTTATACCCCTCAAGTGTTGAGATTAAAGGTGTGACTTATAATTCTTTTTTAGACTGATTCAATCTTGTATAGATCTGGGTGGCCCTGGTCTCACAGAGATCCGTCTACCTCTTAATTCTGAGTCCTAAGATTAAAGGGGTGTACCACCACCTCCTAGCTTCTGGCTGCTGGGATTAAAGGTGTGTGCCTGGCTTCTATGGCTTGTGGCTGACTTTGCTTTCTGAATCTTCAGGCAAGTTTTAATAAATCATAAATAATATATCACCACAGAATGTTCTTACTATGAGTTCAGTTTTTAAGAATTGGAAGACAGCAATATGCTTTAAAGGGCCTTATTGGCACTTTCAAAAGAAACAGATGAAATGGTGGTAATTTGGGAGTTTTTAAGCTTTATTTTCCTATCTCCACATTAGTTTTGTTCAGTCTTACATTGTTTTGGCTCAATTATCATTTTAAGTTACCACCTTATTTTAAAATCAGTTTGTGGCCTAAAAGACACAGAAGAAATTAGGTTAGCAGTAAGCAATGAATTTTAATTTTTTGAAAAGGCCTGTGGCTCTTGAACACTTGAGACTCGCACTGTTTGGGATCACATCACCCGAGTATTATCTGTAGGTCTAGCATCATACTCTACAGGAATGTAAGAAGAGGACAAATGCAAATGCCAGGGTTTGTCGGTGGAATAGAAAGACTCTCTAGTGCTACCTGAATACTTATATGACCTTATTGTGAATTAGATCTAATATTTGAAAATGAGTATCTAAGTCTGAATGAGAGGGGAGAAGGACATTGTGTCATTGTGTGTCCTAGCTGAGCTTTGCTTTTAAAATTTCTCTCTCTCTCTCTCTCTCTCTCTCTCTCTCTCTCTCGTGTGTGTGTGTGTGTGTGTGTGTGTGTGTGTGTGTGTGTGTGTGTGTGTGTGTGTGTGTAAGCCCATGAGTGTACATTCAGAAGCCAGGGAGTCAGGTATCTTTCTCCATTTCTCTTTGCCTTACTCTCTTGAGATAGGTTCCCTTACTGAACCTTGGCTAGGCTTCCTGCAAGCTCCTGGGGTCCACCTGTCTCCAGCCCTGGCCCTGGAGCTCCAGACATGTATGGGCACATTGGACTTTTATGTGGGTGGTGAGGATTCTGATTCAGGTCCTTATTCTTGCACAGCAAGCACTCTTACCCATTGACTATCTCCCTAGCCCAAACCTGTTTCTCATCTGAAAGCTCTGGAATTGTACAGATTATTATCAGCTATCATTTGCTATTTAATGACTTGCAAAAAATCAAAATACAGCATGTGGTGGTAAGTTAGTCTTATTTTAGCTCTCATTCTTTGAAAAGCTACAGTGGATATTCTTTAGTGGAAGGAAGGGTCCTATCAGTTCAAAGGTAAAAGGTTTGCTTGTTTGGCTTTAAAAAAAAGATTTATTTATAAAAATTATGTATGTATATGATTGGGTATATGTTTTTTTCATGTGAGTCAGGTGTCAGTAGAGGCCACAGGAGGCTGCAGATCCTTAGAGCTGGAGATATAGGAGGTTGTGGACTTCCAGATGTAAGTGCTGCAACTGAACTCTGGTCCCCTGCAAGAGCAGCCTGTGCTCTTAACTGCTGAGCCATCTTTCCAGCCCAGGTTTGCTTGGATTTTGATAGGACCTTAATGATCCCACCTGCAAGTGGTAGTTGATTCATTTTAGTTATAAGTACTGCTGATACAAAATCAGGCACTAGAGCTGAGGATGTAGCTCAGTTACCAGAGCACTTGCCTAGCCTGCTTGAAGACCTAGGTATATATGCCTCCTTAGCACTTCATAAAACCAGATGTGGTAGCCCAGCCTTACCCAGCATACCTTGCAACAGAGCAAGTTTGAGAAGAGCCTTGGCCACTAGAGACTTTGTCTCAAACAAACAAAAAAACAAACACAAAATTAGACACTAAAAAATATTGCTTCTACCTTATTTTGATATGATTTGACACATTATTTCTTTAGGCCTTTAAACTCAACTCTGATTCTTTTTTTGTATTTTGGGTTTTTTTCTTGTTATTTGTTTGTTTTGAGACAGAATCTCCCTCTGTATAGCCCTGGCTGTCCCAGAACTGGTTATTAGACCAGGTTGGCCTTCTACTCACAGAGATCCTCTGCCTCCTGATTGCTGGGACCAGAGGGGTGTGTCACTACACCTGTAATTTTTTGTAATTTTCTTTAAAGATTAAAGACACTAGTTTTTCAGTGCTATTCATGGAGTAAAGATAATATTTTCAAAAACATGTGTCTGAGCCAGGAGTAGTAGCACACACCTTTTTTTTTCTTTTTTTTCTTTTTCTTTTTTTTTTTTTTTTTTTTGGTTTTTCAAGACAGGGTTTCTCTGTGGCTTTGGAGGCTGTCCTGGAACTAGCTCTTGTAGACCAGGCTGGTCTCGAACTCACAGAGATCAGCCGTGGCACACACCTTTAATCAAAGCACTAGAGAGGCAGAGGCAGGAAGATCTCTGTGAGATCAAGGCCAGCCTGATCTACAAAGTGAGTTCCAGGACAGCCAGCGCTACATAGTGAGACCCTGTCTTCAAAACAACACTGAACCCACAAAAATATGTACCCAGAAAAACTTTAAGTAAAATTAGTAATCACATTTCTTCCTGTTAGTTTTCTATACTATTTTATAGAAAATGAGATGTTTACAGCTTTGTTAGTCTACTGGCTGTTGGCATAATCACACTTGTTATACTCATATTTGTTACAATACCTTGATTAACACTCTTTAGAGTTAGTGAAGAATATGTCTCTTTTGTCACTTCTTAGTGTATGTGTACATGCATTTAATGTATCACCATTGAGACAGAACATGAAAAAAAAAAGAAAAAGAAAGAAAAAAGAGTTGGGCAGTGGTGGCACTCGCCTTTAATCCCAGAACTCAGGAGGCAGAAGCAGGCGGATCTCTGTGAGTTCGAGACCAGCCTGGTCTACAAGAGCTTGTTCCAGGACAGCCTCCAAAGCCACAGAGAAACTCTGTCTTGGACCCCCACCCCCAAACAAAAAGAGACAGAACATTATGATAAACAACTGCACTTGGTAAAGCTGAAGCAAGAGGACAAAGAGAGAGAGGTCAGCCTAGGCTACAGAACAAGTTGTATGCTAGCCTGGGCTATAGTGAGACCCTGTCAAACAGAAAAACAAAATAGTAATCTCTGAGGTCTGTCACTCAGCATCTTATACTTCAAAATATTAATTTATTTTTGGCCAGAACTGTAGCCCAAAGCCAGTTTGCTATAAGGGAGGGAGGGGTGGAGCTGATTCTATTATTGTCCTGAATAGAACTGAGGCTTTCCTAGATGCAAGAATTAAGAACCAGGCAGGAGGAGGGATGCACTGTGGAGAGATTGCTCAGCAGTTAAGAGCACTGGCTGCTCTCCCAGAGGTCCTGAGTTCAATTCCCAGCAACCACATGGTGGCTCACAACCATCCCTAGTGCGATCTAGTACCCTCTTCTGGCATACAAGCAGAACACTGTATACATAATAAACAAATTCTCAAACTAAAAAGAATAGCAACAGTGATTCTGTATAGGTAATATACAATGTTAAGTCTGTAGAGCAGAATACACTAATAGTAAATAAAATAAGTCTAAGCTAACATCCACAAGAGCAGAATGCATGATTTTGCCTTTGAAAGGAACTTGGTTTGTTGGTGTGGAAATCCTTAAGTCAAGTCCATTGCTTTATTAGGTCTCATTTTCTGTTATCGTAATACTTGGAATAAAAATCTTATTTTGAGGCTGGGTAAGCTCAGTGTTAGAGTGCAGTACCATATGAAACAAAGGAGAACTTTCTGGCTTCCTTAATCGAATTAAAACAAAACAAAGGAATCCTCTGGACTGTTATACTTGATATTAAAGGTATGGCTCCACCTTCTGTTTGTTTCCTGGACTTTTAGAACTAAGCATTGTTCTTAGTTTAAGCTCTTTCATGCCTTTGGCTGACAGACTAGCAGGCTCAGTTTAAATGTAAGTGTTTGGTTTTCTTGTTTTTATTTCATTTGATTTTATATTTCAGTGAGTTTTTATTAGTAGTTTCACCATGATCCAGGGCCCCCTTCACTACTCAGATATAGTGACAGAGGAGATGCCAGGTAGAGCCAGATCAACTCTTCCCCGGAAATGTGTCTTCTGCTTGGAAGTCATCCTGGGCTGAGACCCAGGATGTGGCATGTCCACATGCTGCTGCCACTCGCACAGAGGTTAGTTGCCCCTTTTGTGGTCATTGCCTTCTTAACAGCAGGGAAAGTCCAGGCAGTTCTTCCAGCAGTTCCTGGTCTGGTTCTGGCTTGGGAAGAGACTGTCAAGAAAGGCAGTCTTGTAGTTCCTTCTCCTCCTCTTCTTCTGAGATAGGGTTTCTCTGTAGACCAAGTTGGCCTCAAACTCAGAGATCTGCCTGCTTCTGCTTCCCATGTGCTAGGATAAAGGCATGCACCACCAACGCCTGGCAAGTCTTGTGGTTCTTAATTTCAGTTTCCTGCCCTCAGTAATGGTGCTGACTCCTAAAGCTGCCCAGTAAGAGCTTAGTGCAACCGTTAGCAAAGATGGCAATGTCAGACAGGATGCTTCACTTGAAGTTAATGCTGTGTTAAGTGAGGTTGCTGTTTGTAGTTAATTCTGTGCTGCACCATGTTGTTTTGCTGTGCCAGGGATGGAAGTCAGGGCCTCATCCATGCTAGGCAAGAGCATCACCATAGAGCTACACCCCCAGATCCTTATCATATGCATTTTTAAATTTAGCTGATTTCTAAGCCTCTTATGCGAATAAAAAAAGAAGTAATACGTAAGTGCTTTGAAACATTAAGAAGTGTTTTCAAAATGAAAACATTTGAATTCCTAAGTTTGTAGCTGTACATGCTTGCAGTTATATAATGCTTTTCTTTTGCAAACTGTGGAGAATTTCAAGTAAGCGGAGGCTGTTTGTCATCTGGCTTCACTCCAGTTACTCAGTTATAACAAAGTACAGCAACTTTCAAGAATTTGTGTTCCTTTTTTAAAAAAGAAAGTCCCTAAGAATTTAGAATAGTTCTGTTTACCATTCTGATGAACAAAACTATTTTCACAAAAAGCTAATTTGTTTTCTATTCAAAGGATTGAGAGATTCAAATCTAGAATCTGCCTATATAAGTTTAGATTTCTAAATTAAAGACTGCAGTTCTCTGTAATTTTACACTTAAAGGAAGAATAAATGATGGTTCCTAATGTCCAACCTTCATAAATGATTTCAAATGCTTTACTGTAGCACAAATTCTAATTGTTCTTAATAATAATAACCCTCAGTCAGCTATTGGGGTGAAAGTTAAAGAATCAGAGAAACAGAGCGGCCAGCCACTAGAGTTTTACCTCTACAAAATCTCAGACCAAAAAGGGGTAATCCTGTCCTCAGACTGCATCTGTCCCTCCAAATCCTCAGACTGCTCTGCTTTATATTCTTTTCTGCCCAGTCATATCCGTTCCTATCTGCTCCTCCTTAGTGCTGGGATTAAAGGCCTGTGACTTCTAAATACTGGAATTAAAGGTGTGAGCCACCACTACTTGGCTCTGTTTCTCTTTTAGACTGGATCAATTTCATGTAGCCCAGGGTGGCCTTGAACTAACAGAGATCCTCCCGATTGCTGGGATTAAAGATATGTGCCATCACTGCCCAGCCTCTATGGCTAACTAGTGTGGCTAGCTATACACTCTGATCTTCAGGCAAGCTTTATTTGTTAGATCACAAACAAAATATCACCACATTTCCCCCTTTTTGTCTAAAATTAAAAAGGTTACAATACAAGAAAAACTACATATAATAAGTACAATAATTATATACATACAGGCAACAAGTATATCAACAATGTCTATTCCGTTTGCATTTGACAAATTCAGAGAAAATACTCCATTATCTAACCTATCTTAGTGAGTCCAAAGTGTTGTGCCTAACTTTACTGTGAAAAGGAAATTATACAGTACTGATTTTTAGCATAAAAATTAATAATTCAGGTTTAAAGCTTAGAATTATCATTGTCATTTGAATCATACTAAAAGTTTATGGTTAGTTTATACTTGTATGTATGATTACTACACTGAAGTACAACTTGCCTCATTTGTACACATTCCTATTCATTGCCATAGTAAAGTCAATGATAATATACTAAATTTTTAATGACCATTCTTACTTTATTTTAGATTTTATGTTTACAATAAAAAGAAACGTCTTGTCAACACACCTTACGTGGATAACTCCTATAAATGGGCTGGTGGTGGATTTCTGTCTACAGTGGGTGACCTTCTGAAGTTTGGGAATGCAATGCTGTATGGTTACCAAGTTGGGCTGTTTAAGAATTCAAATGAGAATCTCTTACCTGGATATCTCAAGCCAGAAACGATGGTGATGATGTGGACCCCAGTCCCTAACACCGAAATGTCCTGGGATAAAGAGGGCAAATATGCAATGGCATGGGGTGTTGTAGAAAAGAAGCAAACTTACGGTTCCTGCAGGAAGCAGAGGCACTATGCCTCACACACTGGAGGTGCAGTGGGTGCCAGCAGTGTCCTGCTAGTCCTTCCTGAAGAACTGGACCCAGAGGCCATAAATAACAAGGTTCCCCCACGAGGAATAATCGTCTCTATCATATGTAACATGCAGTCCGTTGGCCTCAATAGCACTGCTTTGAAAATCGCCCTGGAATTTGATAAAGACAGAGCTGACCTGTCCTAAATGGTACAGGTCCACAGTGAGCCTTTTGTTCTTTGAAATGTTGACGTTCCAAAATACATAAAAATTTAAGAATACATTTGTAATAGAGTCAGTTAAATGTGGAGAATTATGTACCTCTAATTGCTGAATTTTGCTTAATTTTGTAACTGCCTTTTTATTGTACAATTAGTTCTTTATACTCAGGGAAATAACACTTGTTTCTACTTTTTGAAAAAAAAGTGTTAACTCTTGAAATAAAATATTCTGGTAAAAGACAGTACTTTTTTAGTCTTTAGCTTTTTTGGGGGGGGGGGGGTTCAAGACAGGATTTCTTTGTTGCTTTGGAGGCTGTCCTGGAACTAGCTCTTGTAGACCAGGCTGGTCTCAAACTCGCACTGTCTCTGCCTCCTGAGTGCTGGGATTAAAGGTGTGCGTTACCACCACCTGCTTGTCTTTAGCTTTTTTATTTTTACTGTCTTTACAGTCTTGCTGTGTAGCATAGACTGGCTTTGAATTTCAGTCTTTGTTTCACCGCTAAAGTTCCTGCTAATAGGCATGAGCCACTACACTAGTTAAAACATATACTATCTGAATGTTTAATAGAGAAGATCCCATGTAACAGAAGACCTTTTAATATAACAGTGAAAACACATTCATAAGAAATACACATGTATGATATATTCATGATCATTCATGAATATATACATAGCAGCTTAAAAGAAACATGTATCCTCCCACCATTCCTGAGGCCCTGGAATTGAAGAGTAATGCAGTTGGGTGGGTCTGGGGCTGAGTCTGTAAAGAGGCTGCTGATAGGTATGGTAGTTGTTCCAAGATGGCCTGCAGTCTGTCCTGTGGCTGATGTGGCAAGACCTCAGTTTGTCACACATGGGCTTCCCAATAGGGCTGCTTGGCTACTTATGCCATGGTTGTGCGTTTAAGAGCAACTTAAGGAGAGAGGAAGAGAGGATGAGAGTGAATGGAAATACAACATAGTAGGCACAATGCATTATATGTTACAAGCCAGCCATAATTCACCATGTCTGTTAGTTTACACCACTGTGACCAGATATCTGTTGGAAACAACACAGGAAAATGAAGGTTTGCATTGTCAGAGTTGGCATCGATTATGGCAAGGAAGGCATAGTGACAGAAGTAGGTAGTACAGCAGAGACAGTCCCATACTATCACATGTGACAAATGCTATTGGTCTAAGAATCACAGGTCAAACCTGATCCATTGTAGGGATGAATACTGAGAATCATTAGGTGCTACCTTGAAGGTAATCTCCACAGACTGCTCTACTGTAGTGTTGACTTTGGGATATTTTGTTGCAATAGTCCTGGATGGTATATGCTGGAGATTATCTGTGTGCCAGTGGAGACAGGAAGACACAAAAGTTTTTATATACCTTATGAAAGGATTTTTCTGTATTTTTCAGCCCTACGTCTATTTCTTCACTTTCTTCTTTATAACAGTAAATCAATCTCTGGGTTGTGTGAATTATGGTCAGCAGCAGTTCTTTTAAACATGTCCATGTCTTCCTGGCATGTAAAAGGTGTAATCCTGTGCTGTAAACTCAGTCCCCTGAAGATTGCTGGCCTGCCTCTCACCTGGGTTCAGTGGGAGATCTTGTCTAAAAAGGAGAATGAACATAAGAGTACATTGGACTGACTTCTGGCCTCCACAAACACACTTTTCTTACCAAATGCAGTCAGAAACAGTACTGGTAAGTAAGTCTTCATATCTTAAGAAGGGATCTGTCTCTAGTGATTGATTCTTATTCAGAAAAGGGCACACTCCTTGCTTTTGTTTTTATTGGAACTTGCCAAGGGAGGTCATTGGCTACACATGATTTATTATTTTTTTTTAAATTTATTAGTTCTATTTAGGGAACAAGCTTGTTTCACATGTCCCTTCTCCCTCTCCCTCCCCTCACCCCCATTCCTCCTCCCCCACCCCCACACTCCATCCACCTACCACTCCCCAGGCAGGGTAGGGCCCTCAACAGGGGCTCTGCAAAGTCCACCAAATCTTCCTGTGCTGGTCCTGGGCACTTCCCCATGTGTCCAGGGCCAGAGTGTAACCCTTCACGTGGGATGGGCTCTCAAAGTCCCCTTCTTGCACCAGGGAAAAATACTAATCCACCACCAGAGGTCCCCTGGAGTGCAGAGGCCTCCTTATTGACATCCATGTTCAGGGGTCTGGATCAGTCTTGTACTGGCCTCCCCGACAGGTCGATGTGCTCTCCCTTGTCCAGGCCAATTGTTCCTGTGGGTTTCTCCAACCTGTTACAGACCCCTTCGCTCTTCATTCCTCCCTCGCTTCAACTAAATTCCCGATGTCAGCTCAGTGTATATCTGTGGATGTCTGTCTCTGCTTCCATCAGCCACTGGGTGAGGGCTCTAGTTCCTGGGTCGGTCTTGGAAAGCCACATGATTTATTTTATTGGTCTTGTATTAAATTGATCTTTTGTAAACAACAAAAAAAAATAGGCACAAAAGATTTACAACAAATACCCATAATCCCAATACCCAAAATTTAAAATGTGAACATGTCAAATTTTCTTCACTTAAAATCATACAGGAGAAAAACTGGAGACCCTTTTAGCTAACACCCAAAGTCCCACTCTTTTTGACTAGCAGGGAACTATCGAGATTGGTATGTATTTTCTCATACATACCACTCAATCTCAAACATTCCTTGTTTGACACTATATATGTAATAAAAATTTCAGTATGTAATACATACTATAGATTTCTATCACATATTTACACAAACATACATGTTTTCTGCCGTCCTCAAAATTCAAGACTTATTGTAATCTGGTCAACGGTTATGCAAATCTAGTTTGTTGTTAACTGCTATCAACTACCAAATTGTGACATATTATATTGCACTACTCACTGTTTTTTTTTTTTTTTTTTTTTTTTTTTTTTTTTTTTGGTTTTTTTCAAAAAAGGTTTCCTGGGACTCACTCTGTAGATCAAGCTGGCCTTGAACTCATAGAGATCTGCCTACTTCTGCCTCCCAAGTGCTAGGATTAAAGGTACCATCATCACCCCTATCCAGTATCTTAATAGATGCTTTTTAACCATTAGAGGCAACATTGTGTGCTGAACTATATAACTTTCTGTACATTTTTTTCTTTTTTGTTTTTTTTGAGACAGGGTTTCTCTGTGTAGCTTTGGAGCTTATCCTGGCACTGCTCTGGAGACCAGGCTGGCCTGGAACTCACAGAGATCCACCTGCCTCTGCCTCCCGAGTGCTAGGATTAAAGGCGTGCACCACCAACACCTGGCAACTTTCTGTACTTATATCAAAAAGAAACCCACTTAAATTTAATTTTACATAAGCCTTGTTTTTATGGTAACCTTATTTTTTTATGCATCTGATGGTACAATTGTTTTTATTTGCTTTTACCTAATACTTAGCAAGTTAGACATTATTTTCATGTGTCCTTTGATCTTTTGGATTTTCTCCAAATTTCCCACATACAGTCTGCCTACTCAGACCAGGAAAAATAAAGTATTTAAGAATTGTCCAGGAATAGGGACATATACCTTTAATACTAGCACTTGGGGAGGCAGAGGCAGGCAGATCCTTTTGAATGTGAGGTTTGCCTCTACTTAGTGAGTTCCAGGACTACATAGAGAGACCCTGTTTCAAAACAGATTCCTGCCATTCTGTTGGGCAATAACTTGTGGAGTGATTTTGTCTCTCTTTCAATCACAGGCAGAGTTATTGCTCTACCATCTTTAAGCTAGGTTGACTTTGACCTGCTCCTCACCTGTCAAATGTGGTGGACACTCTGTATGAGGCCCTGCTCTCCAGCTTGCCTTCACTGCCTGAGACTCACTGCCTCATTTCACTCACTGAGGGCACGGCTCGTTTACTGAAGGACCAGGATGTCCTAGACACCAGATAGCACCAGCTGTGATAGACACCAGCATGAATGAAATCATGCTGGACCCAACTCAGCTTCACTGCCAGTGAAAGCTGTGTAAGTGAAACTAGATGAGACCAGCAGAGGAATCAGCCAACTTACATAATCATGAGAAAAAAATAAATCTCCACTTAAGCCATGAAACTTGGGGTGGCTTGTTTTCCAGCATGCAGTCAACACAACTGTGCTTTTGTTTGCCAAGATATAGGGACATTTGGAGGAAAATACAACTTTGTAATACTTTTATTTTGAATAGACCTAATTCCTCTTTTAGTTAAAAAAAAAAAAAAAAAGGAAACAAACAAACAAAAACCCAGAAAAACCACAACTATTAGTGGAGCACTTATTTTGTGAAAGGCACTATGCTAAGCACTTTGTATATGTCATGTCATTTACTCTCCAAAATTGTCCTTACCTTTCCTTAAGTCACAAACCAATGACCACCAGAACTTGATTCAAACCTAGCTATATCTGACTCTGGAGGCTATTTTGGCCTTTATCCTGCCTTCTCATATAATAATAATAATAAATTATTCTAAGAATTGGCCAGTCCCCAAAAGTCATATTTTGTGGGACACAACTTTAACAGTTCAGTTTAGTAAACCAAGTCACATCAAAATATAAATTGGGCCAGGAAATACCACTTAGTGATAGAGCTAATACATCTATTACAGCTACAAAAATAATTATAGATTTTCATTAGAAAATTTGACTGCAAACCAAGAATAATGAATCACTCAAAATACAAAAAGAAAAAGATGGCACTATAAGCCTCTCTCCTATATACTCCTTGTTCTAAACATAAATACATTCATAAAAACAGAACATGGACAGGGCTGAAGCTGAGGATCTTCCGAGCCCTGAGCCTAGACAGCAGTGAAGTACTGGGGATTGAACGAGGGCCTCGAGTAAGTACTCTACCACTGAGCTACAGCCCAAGCCCTAATTCTTTTCTAAGGTGAGGTTTTGGTACACAAGAATACAGGATGTGGTATAGCAGGAAATAAACCAGATGTAAAGAAATACATTGGGAAAATGTTATTCTGACAATACCTTTGAAACAAAGAACCTTTACGAATGGAACAGCAACCCCATGGCTTGATGGAACTCTATGTGAAAATGGAGCTATACTACCCTAAAAAAGATAATTATACCCAATGTAATTTAGAATGGTCTCAAAGTCAAATGTTTAGGGTGTGTACACTTGAAATGGGACTCAAACTAGTCAAAATACAGTTTTAAAATGTTTAAACTAGCCTGGCAGTGGTGGCACACACGTTAGTCCCAGCACCCAGGAGGCAGAAGCAGGTGGATCTCTGTGAGTTCAAGGCCAG